TTTGAGTCTCATCTCTTGTCCACCTCCGAGTCTTAGGGGTTAAACCTTAGGACTAATTCTCTGGCTCTACCTTAGGGTAGTCTAACCTCTGTTCAGTTTCTACTCTGGACTTGTCCGCAGTAGCCTCACCCCGTTTCCCACATAGTCTTCCGGAGTTCCACCGAACTCCACCAACGTTTGTCCTCCGGAACTCCCCAGACTTCCGTCGGACTTCCCTCTGCCCCTTGGAAATTAAGGGCATGTACTTGGGTAAGGGGCACAGCGCACGAGCTGAAGCCGAAGCCCTTTGAGTAACCTCCCCCTTGAGCACAACCTTAACACCTCCCCAACCACCATCCACTCCTCTTAGACAAGTCAAACACCCAGAGACGCCACCCATACCTAGAACCACCAGAGTAAGGCCACCTCTTGGCTACTATACTACCCTGAATGAGGGGAAAGTAGCTGGTTTAGCAGCAGAAACACCATTCCTGCCAGCAGAGTCAGAGTTGGAAGATGGAAACATCTCCACTCACCTATACACTATGGCTGCTGTAGAGCCTGAGGTAACGCTCCAGCAAGCATGTAACAGACCCAACACTGCTAAATGGCAAGAAGTCATCAACTATGAGATTAGTCAGCTTGAGAAGCTTGGCACTTGGACAGTTGTTGACTCACCACCTGGCATGAACCTAATTCCCTGCCATTGTGTATTGGCCACTAAGTGTGGGCCAGATGGTAAAAAGCTCAAGTTACAAGCTCATCTCATGGCAAACGGTCAGCATCAGAAATACAGTATTGAATACTATGACACCTTTGCTCCCACATCCAAAATGTCCTCGATTATGACCATTCTTGCCATGGCTGCCCAGTGCAACTGGCATATCCACCAGGTTGATGTTAAAAGCACCTATCTCTATGCTGAGCTCGAGGATATATACATGCACACCCCACCAGGATACCTGAGGGTGGGACAAGAGAGGAAGGTGCTAAAGCTGCTAAGGAGCTTACTGGGCTTAAAACAAGCAGGCTTTGAGTGGTCAGAAGAGCTGGCCACCACATTCCTGAAGATGGGATACATACACTTGAAGGTTGATCAAGCTGTCTATTGTAAGTGTCAGGAGGATAAGCACACTGTTATCACTGTGTCAGTGGACAACATGGCTGTTGCCTCTCAGCACCTCCATCATATCAAGTGCTTCAAGGAAGAACTCAGCCAACACTTCGAGATTTCAGATCTTGGTGAGCTTACCTGGCTTTTGGGGCTTAAGGTTGAATGAGATTGCGCTGCGCACACAATCATCCTGTCTCAGAAAGCCTACATCAATACTATCCTCTAGCGATTTCCTTACAGATGCTAAAGCAGTCCAGACACCAATGGAAGTTGGTACCATGCTCTCTGACACCCAGTCCCCTGCCACACATGCTCAAAGCGAAGCCATGCAAGACGTCCCTTACCAGAGAGCTATAGGGTTTCTGATGTACACGGGCACAAGCACTCACCCTGACATCATGTTTGCCATCACGACACTGTCTCAATTCATGTGCAATCCAGGGAGAGAGCATTGGGAGGCTGTGAAGCAAGTTTTAAGGTAATAATGTCTGAAGAACTCCTGGAAAACTCCCAAAACACAAAAACAACTAGACCCAAATGCCATGCTGCAACTTTCACACCATCCAGGAGATCAATACCAGAACTCATTAATGACCCGGCCAGCTTTTCATTAATAATAGACGAATGAACAGCAAGAGCCGAACTTGAATCAAGACTATTCATCACTCAAGCAGCCAAAGCAACTATGGACACCCTAACTACGGCTCTACTCGACTTCTCGGTCCAAGCTCCATCTCTTACTCCAATGCACATCGACATAATAAGGGCTATTGCGATCCTACTATTCAAAACCAACCACAAACAGAAAGCACGAACCATTTCCAACACCATCTGTACACAACTCAAAGAACCGATCAATAAGCTAAGCGAGTTAATGGACATTAGTAACAATGAAGCAAATGGCAATCAGGCTCTAAACGAAATGACAAAGAAAGCAGAATCAACAGTAAACGAAATAACCAACAGCATGAAAACGATCAAAGAGGCAGCAGATCAGCTCACACCATCCATCAAATCGATCCAAGACAACCTCACCGATGCCAGTAACATTGACTCCCAACTGGGGAAGCTGCAACAAGAAGTAATGACCCTAATCAAGGAAACGACCCAGAAACCCAGCTACAGGACAGCCTTACTATCTGGACTAGATAATGACACCCACAATCAAACCGACCAACTTGCAGCAAGAGACGCAATCAAGGCCCGTCAAATCCTCATTAATGTTGCCCTTGATGGTCCAATAGCTCCAACCAAAGTCTCACACGCACAACTAGTCGAGAAGATCAAAGTGGCCCTCTCAACCATCGTCTCCACCGACATGCCAGAATTGAATATTTCCTCAGTCAATCAATACTGCAATGGCGGAACAATCCTGGAAATGATGAGCGCGGAAGCTGCAGAATACCTTAAGAAAAGCGATATTAAGGAAAGATTCATTAAGAGCTTAGACCCGAAAGCTGTAGTCAAAGACAGAGGATATCCGGTGATCATCCAGTTCGTCCCACTGACATTTGACCCTGACAGCAAAAATCAAATCGGCAACCTTGAGAAGGAAAATGACTGGGAGCAAGGAACCATCACATTTGTGAGATGGATCAAACCACCCAACAAACGCACCAACCACTAACAGGTCACTCACTTACTGATGGTACTCAAAAACCCGAATGACGTGAACAAGGGAATACACAACAGAATCACGCTAAACCAAAACCACCTACAAATGAAGAAGAACAGAAGAGAATCAATTTGATGCGCCAAATGCCAGCACTACGGCCACATAGCTCGAGAATGCACCTCAAACCGCAACACCTGCGTCAACTGCTCTGAAGAGCACAGGACCAGCGATTGCAACAACAGGAACAGACAATACTGTGTCGCATGTGAAATGGAAGGACATGCTAGCTGGGAATGAAGCTGCCCCGAATTCAAACGTAGATGCATGGACCTTGACAAAAGATACCCGGAGAACACCATGCCCTACTTCCTGACAAACGAATCCTGGACCCAAGCTACCGCCCTGCCGAAAGCAACCCCCCAATCCACCCGAACTCAGGATCACATAACGCAACCACAAACCCAGGACACTCTGGACAGGCATATGAATCCGAGAGGAGGAAGACCAATGAGAGGCACCTCCCACCTACCACGCAATGCCGGATTCTCCTCGCGACAATTGCCACCTATCTCCTTCATTCACTCTCCATCGCCAGACCCTCCCTCAACACCCTCAATCAATGTCTAATACACCCGATGAACAAGCTGTAAGACTACGTATATGGCAAGAAAACCTAAATAAATCAGAAACGGCACAACACGGTATATTAAGCGGCCCATTCACAGCGAAGGCATTTGATATAGTCGTCCTACAGGAACCATGTATTGATGCATTAGGCAACACAAGAGCCACTCTGGACTGGAACATCGTCTACCCAACCCACAGACTCACCCTTGGTAACTGATCGCGCACAATCACCCTAGTCCAAAAACGAATAGACACTAACAACTGGAGGCAAATCCCATTCCTGTCACCAGACGTAGTAATCATTCAAATGCAGGGCACATTCGGAAAACTCACCCTAATTAACATCTACGACAACAGCACAAAACGGGAGACACTACCCACACTCACTACATTCTTAGACAGGGAGAGCTGCACTATCCAATCATCACCCATGGACCACTTAGTTCTCCTAGGCGACTTCAATGCGCATCACCACCTATGGGAAGAAGCCAGAAACACCCACCTATGCTCCCCACCAGAGGCCCAGGAAGGAGCACAACGCATAATTGAACTAATGGCTGACTACAATCTACAAATGGCGCTACTGAGAGACAAACCTACCGAGCCCCTTCAGTGACAAACTCCGTATTTTACGAGGCAACTGATGTGCATAATATCCCGTATAACATGGGCCAATGATGAAGATATCCTCGATGTTAACGGATGGGCCGGGAGGGATATTATTACCAATGAATACGGGTGGGCCCATCTAGGTAATATGTAGAGTGGGATGGACATGTATATTATAGACAGGTGGGCTGATGTAGTGACATTATTATCTAGACAGGTGGGCCGAAGGAGCAGTTTATTATATATCATATAGACGGGTGGGCCGAGGTAGTAGTATATTGTGTAGACGGGTGGGCCGACGTAGGGGGTATATTATGTAGACTGGTGGGCTGAGGTAGTAGTATATTGTGTAGACCAGTGGGCCGACTTAGGGGGTATATTATGTAGACTGGTGGGCCGAGGTAATTGTTATCATATAAATGGGTGGGCCAAGAGAGCGATTTATTAGATATTATATAGACCGGTGGGCCGAGGTAGTTGGATATCACATATATGGGTGGGCCCAGATACGTATCATATAGACACATGGGCCGAGGTGGTAGTATATTATATAGATGTATGGGCTGAGGTAGTAGTATATTATATAGACGGGTGGGCCAAGATGGTTGATATCACATCCACGGGTGGGCCCAGAAGAATGAGTGTTATAAACATCAGTGGGCTGAGATAGTTGGATAACATACTAATCAGTGTGCTGATGTAGGCACCAGTACATACCCACTGTATGAGTGCATACACCTATCATCAACCACCAAAAGGAGAAACACAAAACCCTGAATACAACATTTCGTACATAAAACGAATCACCAAGTACCTAGTACCAAGTACCAAGTTCCGGGTAACATCTATCGAGTTCCAGGTAACTAATATCGACTTCCAGGTATTTCGTAAATTGAACAAATCACCAAGTACCAAGTACCAAGTTCTGGGCACCAAGTGCTGAGTTCCAAGTTCCGGGCATCGAGTGCCGAGTGCCGAAACCCGGCACTCAGCACTCGGTACTTGGTGATTTGTTCAATTTATGAAATGTTTTATTTTAGTTTCATGTTTCAGTGCTCAATGCCTGGAACTCAATGCCCAGAACTCGGTGTCTGGAACTTGGTACTCGGTACTTGGTGATTTGTTCAATTTATGAAATACCCAGAACTCAATATTAGTTACCCAGACATCAATAGATGTTACCCAGAACTCAATGATTTCATTCTTTGGGTATGCCGGAGGTACAATGCATTTCAACAACATTTACAGAAATCTAACACTACCAAATTATGTAGACATTTCAACCTCACCCAGATGACCCTCATCACCACCTTCAACTTCAACCTTGACCTCAACATCCATGTCATCAGCAGAATCATATTACAGGAAAAGGTTGCATGGATCATCCGGCACCACAATGTCTCCGGCAGTTGGGGGAGTAGGTGATGGGTCTAGGGCTAGTTGAACTTGGCTCGGCTCAAATATGAGACCCTCGATGGCAGAGGGATCCTCAATTTTCGAGGGTGTGGGCTCCATCCCTTCCATCGAAAGCTCCGAGCACTGAATACTTGGTACTCAGTACCTACTTGATACTCAAAACTCAGTACTCAGTACTTGGCACTCAGTTCCTAGTACTTGATACTTGATGCTGAATATATTGGTAGATCTTAACCTATTGATGTCATGAGACTATGGATAGACTCCCCTAGACAAGGGCTACAACTGTGGTTTTCATCGAAAAAGTTCTGACGGTCTAGAATATCGAGTACCGAGCTCCAAGCACTCAATACTCAGTACTCAATACTCAAAACTTGGTACTTGGTACTAAGTTCCCAGTACTTGATACTCAATGCTGAATATCTTGGTACTCAACTGAGCACTGAGCACTGAGTACCAACTACCAAGCACCAAGCACCAGGCACCGAGCATCGAGCACCGAGCACCAAGCACTGAATACTCGGTACTCAGTACTTAGTACTCAGTTCCCAGTACTTAATACTCAATGCTGAATATCTTGGTAGATCTTAAGCTATTGATGTCATGAGACTATGGATAGACTCCCCTTGACAAGGGCTACAATTTTGATTTTTATCTACAAAGTTCCCACAGTCAAAGTGCTTTCTTGAACACTCCATTTGCAAGTATTTTGCTTATATCTTACTAGGATCTTAACCTATTGATGTCGTGAGACCATGGATAGACTCCCCTAGACAAGGGCTACAACTTTGGTTTTCATCGAAAAAGTTCCCACAGTCTAGAATATTGAGTCCCGAGCACCGAGCACTGGGCACCAAGTACCGAGCACCGAGCACTGAATACTCGGTACTTGGTACTTAGTCCTCAGTTCCCAGTACTTGATACTCAATGCTGAATATCTTGGTACTCAACTGAGCACCAAGCACCAAGCACCAGGCACCAGGCACCAGGCACCGAGCACCGAGCACTGAATACTCAGCACTCGGTACTCGGTACTTGATACTCAATGCTGAATATCTTGGTAGATCTTAAGCTATTGGTGTCATGAGACTATGGATAGACTCCCCTTGACAAGGGCTACAATTTTGATTTTTATCTACCCAGTTCCCACGGTCAAAGTGCCTTCTTGAACACTCCATTTGCAAGTATTTTGCTTATATCCTACTAGGATCTTAACCTATTGATGTCATGAGACCATGGATAGACTCCACTAGACAAGGGCTACAACTTTGGTTTTCATCGAAAAAGTTCCCACGATCTAGAATATTGAGTCCCGAGCACCGGGCACCAGGCACCGGGCACTGAGTACCGAGCACCGAGCACTGAATACTCAGTACTCAGTACTTAGTACTCAGTTCCTGGTACTTGATACTCAATGCTGAATATCTTGGTACTCAACTGAGCACCAAGCACTGAGCACCAAGCACTGAGCACCGGGCAGATATTTATCTAAAAAGTTCCCATGGTCAAAGTGCTTTCTTGAACACTCCATTTGCAAGTATTTTGCTTCAGACACCTAGAGTATATTTCACATATATTCAGTATGATGGATCTAAAATTACAGAAAGATCCACCAGGAATTGAGAGCTGGGGAAGTGAAATAGATAAGAAATCGAGTGTGGGAAACGTCAAAGCTCAAATGCCCCAAACATCGAAAATGGTCAGTTGATGTATCCTTGGCTATGGGCAACCAATTCAAACACTTCTATGCCACATCCCTCCCACCAACACTCTACCCTCAGGGCAGTATGCAGTATAGGTTCCTTAGGTAGTCCACCATGTATCCTACACATTTTTAATGAAATCTTCAACCTGTATCATATATAAATGTGACTTTGTGTGAACAGATGTCAATTGTCACTTTTCACACATATATTGTTTTGCTTGTCATTCACTCAATCCTGGATGGATCTTTCTGAGCCTTTAAGGCTATCATTTACCATGTGGGCTTTTGATCAGTAGCTTTACATCAGATCTCAAATTTCCGGCCTAAATATCACTGATCCTTAGCATAATAAATGTAATAATGACAGTCTATGAGTAACTTGGATAATCTGTGTAAGGGTAGGGTGGTAAAACATATCAAAATGTCACAATTGTGATTTGTCAAGTGTTGTTCCTATGGAAGGATCATGTAGGTGTCCTGGTCTATCTATATGATGTATCTACTACCAATATACATAGAAATAGACCCCATACCTGGGTGCTTGGTGCTTAGTGCTTGGTGCTCAGTAGTGGGTACTCAGTGTGCTCAGTGCTTAGTTGAGTACCAAGATATTCAGCATTGAGTATCAAGTACTGGGAACTGAGTACCAAGTACCAAGTTTTGAGTATCGAGTAGGTACTGAGTACCGAGTATTCAGTGCTTGGTGCTTGGTATTCAATTTTATAGACCGTGGGAACTTTTTCGATGAAAATCAAAGTTGTAGCCCATGTCAAGGGGAGTCTATCCATAGTCTCATGACATCAATAGGTTGAGATCCTAGTGAGGTATAAGCAAAATACTCGAAAATGAAGGGTTCAAAAGTGTTAAGGTATATATTGAGTAGTGAGTAGGTACCAAGATATTCAGCATTGAGTATCAAGTACTGAGTACCAAGTATTGAGTATTGAGTAGGTACCGAGCATCGAGTATCAAGTACCGAGTCCTGAGTATTCAGTGCTCGGTGCCTGGTGCCCGGTGCTCGGTACTCAATATTCTAGACCGTGGGAACTTTTTCGCTGAAAACCAAAGTTGTAGCCCTTGTCTAGGGGAGTCTATCCATGGTCTCATGACATCAATAGGTTAAGATCCTAGTAAGATATAAGCAAAATACTTGCAAATGGAGTATTCAAGAAAGCACTTTGACCATGGGAACTTTTTAGATAAATATCAATATTGTAGCCCTTGTCAGGGGGAGTCTATTCATAGTCTCACGACATCAATAGGTTAAGATATACCAAGATATTCAGCATTGAGTATCAAGTACTGGGAACTGAGTACTAAGTACCGAGTACCGAGTATTCAGTGCTTGGTGCTTGGTGCCCAGTGCTTGGTGCTCGGTAGTCGGTACTCAGTGCTCAGTTGAGTACTGAGTATTCAGTGCTCGGTGCTCGGTGCTCGGTAGTCAGTACTCAGTGCTCAGTTGAGTACCAAGATATTCAGCATTGAGTATCAAGTACTGGGAACTGAGTACCGAGTACTGAGTTTTGAGTATCGAGTAGGTAGTGAGTACCGAGTATTCAGGGCTCGGTGCTTGGTACTCAATATTGTAGACTGTGGGAACTTTTTCAATGAAAACCAAAGTTGTAGCCCTTGCCTAGTGGAGTTTATCCATGGTCTCATGACATCAATAGGTTAAGATCCTAGTATGATATAAGCAAAATACTTGCAAATGGAGTGTTCAAGAAAGCACTTTGACCGTGGGAACTTTTTAGATAAAATCAAAATGGTAGCCATTGTCAAGGGGAGTCTATCCATAGTCTCACAACACCAATAGGTTAAGATCTACCAATATATTCAGCAGGAGTACCGAGTTCTGGGCATTGAGTACCGAGTGCTGAGTGCTGGGTTTCGGCACTCGGTACTTGATGCCTGGAACTCGGTACTCGGCACTCGGTGCCCGGAACTTGGTGCTTGGTACTTGGTGATTTGTTCAATTTATGAAATGTTGTATTTTAGTTTTGTGTTTCGGTGCTCGATGCCCAGAACTCGATGCCCAGAACTTGGTACTCGGTACTTGGTGATTTGTTCAATTTATGAAATACCTGGAAGTCAATATTAGTTACCTGGAACTTGATATTAGTTACCCGGACATCAATAGATGTTACCTGGAACTCGATAGATGTTACCCGGCCCGTGGATATGATATATACGACTACCTTTGGCCCACCCATATATATAATAAATATTTTTCCGCTCCCTTGGCCCACCCATATATATAATAAATATTTCACCACTCCCTCGGCCCACCTGTCTACAAAATAATACCAATATGTCGGCCCACCCATCTACAAAATAATCTTAATTTGTCGGCCCACCCGTCTAATATGATATATATCTGGGCCCACCCGTCTATGTGATAACAAGCACCCTTGACATACCTGGCTATTTGATACACATCTACCTTGGTAAACCCATCTACATAATATCAAACTACCTCGGCCCATCCATCTATTGAATATTCATGTCCATCGGCCCACTCATCTACTCTACATATTCCCTACATGGGCCCACCCATCTCCATCGGGAATAATAACCCTCCCGGCCCATCTGTCATAGTCAAGGATATATCTACCTTCGGCCCATGGTCCGCTGGCCCGTATCATACGGGATATTATGCACGTCCGTTCACTCGTATAATACGGAGATATGTTACTGCAATATGTGACCTACCCTCCAATTGACCAGCAGTGGAAACTGGACAAGACTGGACAATGTATTCTGTACCACCCATACACTGGACTCATTCACTCTCTGTGATACAGCACCTAGACGCCGCCCCCCCTGTACCGACCATGTACCCATATACAGTACCTTAGACCTCCCTATACCCTGTGCTTCTACGACAACTACATTCAACTACTGTGACGTTGACTGGGAAGAATTCTGCGGCACTCTCAACAGGAACTTAGCCGACTATCTGGAACCAACGACCATCACCTCGGAGGAACAATTCCAAACCGCCGCCGCCAACCTCGCTACCACACTAAGCCAAACGGTGGAGCAGAAAGTCCCAAAAACTAAACAAAGTCCCTATGCAAAGCGATGGTGGACAAAGGAACTGATGCTGATGATGAAACAGAAAAACAAGCTAAGTGATCTATCCTACAAGTTGAGAGGACTCCCTGAGCACGCCGTCCACGAAGAACACCACAGCTATCGCAACCAAGTAACCGAAGCGATCAGAAAAACAAAACATGAGCACTGGATAGAATTCCTAGAGGAGTTGGATCAACAATCAGTATACATGGCGAACCGATACGTAACGACACCTTACGGCGACGGAGGGAGATCTAGTGTACCAGTCCTCAAAGTTAAGAATGAGGAAGGCAACCTAGTAGAGGCTATCACCAATGACAAGAAAAGCAAAGCACTTGCCAATGCCTTCTTCCCTCTGCCCCCAGCCAACAGCTCTGTCCCAATCAACTTCGACTACCCTGACCCGATAGCTGCCTTCTCAACGATCATGGAAGCCCAAATCGAGAAAGCGATAGCTAACACCAGCTCCTACAAAGTGCTGGGACCAAATGGAATCTGCAATATCATCTTCAAACAAGCGTCATCCATACTGACACCATACCTCAGGCACCTATTCAACGCCATCTTCAACCTCAACACCTACTTCGACCCCTGGCGCGAATTCACAATGGTAGTCCTTAAGAAACCCGGGAAAGCAGACTATACAACACCTAAAGTGTATTGTCCCATCGCTCTCATCAATACAACATGCAAGCTACTAACAGCAATCATAGCTGAACAGGTCACAGATCTCATGGAACGCCACAACCTGCTACCCAACACTCACTTTGGAGGATGACCCAGGCGCACAACAATGGATTCCCTACACCTTCTAGAAGCAACAGTCAAAAATGTATGGCAAAATGGAAAAGTAGCATCAATACTCTTTCTGGACATTGAAGGAGCGTTTCCCAATGCAGTTACTGACTGACTAGCCCACAACATGAAGACAAGACGCCTTCCACCAGAGATTGTTCAGTTTATGGTCAGAATACTGTCAGGATGCAAAACACAACTAAGGTTCAATGACTCGATATCGGACTGGATACACGTGCGCAACGGAATAGGACAAGGAGACCCGCTATCTATGATCACTTATCTTATCTACAATGCTGACCTCATTGACATAGCCAATCCCCGCAACAAGGAAACAGCACTGGCCTTTGTAGACAACACAGCATACATAGCGATAGGCCCATCCTTTGAAGACACCCATGACACACTCAAAGATATGATGGAGAGACCGAACGGAGCACTTCAATGGTCAAAGGAGCATAACTCAAGGTTTGAAGTCAACAAGTTTGTGCTGATTGATTTTACCCATAGTTGAACATGCCCCCGCCTGCCACTCGTCCTACAAAACACCACCATACACCCCACTGAGCACCATTGTTTCCTCGGCCTTCTAGTTGACCAAGAACTGACTTGGAAATATCACACAGGACATGCTATAGCCAAAGGAATGGAATACATCCTACAACTGTGACAACTCTCTAGACCAGCAAATGGGATATCAGCAAAACTCATGCGCCAACACTATCTAACTGTAGCGGTACCAAAATTCATGTACGGAGCGAACTTATGGTTCAGACCCATCTACTGTAATGGAGCGACAAAAGTACAGCAAGGGTCGCTAGGAATAGCGAAACAGCTAGCTACAGTCCAGAGAACAGCCGCACTAAGCATTACTGGAGCCATGAGAATGACGGCCACAGATATCTTTGACAGCCATGCTAACCTCTTACCGATCCCACTACTCCTCCAAAAGATCTGTCACTGCGCCGCCATACGTCTCGCCACCCTCCCGCAGCGACACCCGCTATATCCACACCTGCAGCACATCGCCAGACACCAGAACACATCCTGTCACCGTTCATCCCTTCACAACCTCACAGCTACCTACCAACTCCTTTCCAAGAACATCGAAATGATCGACCCCATTAGCAGAGCAGACAAGCACCGACCCAACACATATCGCTCCCACATCGCTAGAGAGGAAAAAGACGCTATCAAGGAGCAAAGAGAATTACTGGACAAAGTACAAGTATTCACAGATGGTTCTGGACACAACGGAGGAATAGGAGCAGCGGCAGTCCTGATACGAGAAGGGCAAGCCCCACGTATCCTGAAATACCACCTCAGATCGGATCGAAAGCATACCGTCTATGAGGCGGAAGTAGTAGGCCTCTCACTCGCAGCGAAGCTCATCGCCATGGAAAGGAACATGATCTACCCAGCATTGATCTTTGTAGACAATCAGGTGGCCATACAATCTGGTGAGAGTCAGTACATGAACTCGGGCAGTTACTTAGTAGAACACTTTCGCACCTTGACAGTGCAGTTAGCGAGTCACAGAAACGCTCACGATCTCAACTTTGACTTCACGATAAGATGGATCCCAGGACATAAGGGAGTGACAGGCAATGAGCTAGCGGATAAAGCAGCAAAGGAAGCAGCAGAAGGAGAGAGAAAATCAAGTGCACGTGAACGTCTACCATCCTTCCTCCAACTCGGCAAACTCACAGACAGCATCTCAGCCCTGAAACAATGGCACCAATTGGACCTGAACATCAGATGGTCAGAAACCTGGAAGAAATCACCCCGCTATGCACGTGAATCAACCATAGATCCCAGTATGCCATCCAACAAATTCATCAAGCTCATCACCACTCTTCCTAGACGTCAGGCTAGTATCATCACCCAACTGCAAACCCGCCACTCCCCCCTCAACCAGCATCTTCATTGCATAGGGAAAAGTGACTCCCCTCACTGCCCATTCTGCCCGGAAATAGTAGAAACCGTCCTGCATTTCCTGTTCGAGTGCCATCAATACACAAGAGAACACCACATTCTTTTGAATGCTCTACGCCGCAAAGTGACCTCACTCACTTATCTACTAACCACCAATGACGCAGTCAGACTGCTCATGCAATACGTCAATGGTACAGGAAGGTTCAAAACCACATTTGGTGAGATCCCGGAAACATAATACTGTACACAACTTAAGCACATTTCATATGTCAACAGGAAAACAAACACATACAGTTAACACACCAAGCAAATAGATCTCCGAGACTAAAGGGAAAGACTAGCACTGGCCGCCCAGTCACTGTAGAAGAAGAGAGGTGAAAGGAGCACAGCTCAGACAAACAGACACCAGGATCGAAACTGCGACCAAGTCAAAGTCTCGCGCAACATCCGACCGACACCCTCCCCAAGCAACTCATTAACTACATCATTCCCTCTGTACGAAATCAGTGTCGGCCTTTGCCCGACAATATACCAACAGAGTACGCGTATATCCACTCAACAAACATAGATTACCACAATATGTACAATAGTGTAGCAGGAGTAGACCCCCCGTGTATAGGGTTATGTCCAACATAGGGTCTTCAACCCCAAAGGACAATAAACATGGATTTTTTTTTAAAAAAAAAAGTTTTAAGGTATCTCAAGGGTACAACTGGATTTGGACTGACCTTGAGAGGCACAGAGGTAGGACTCAAAGTGTACATTGACACTGATTGGGCGTCACAGGCACACCAACACTCGATGTCTGTATATCTTGTTCTGTTTAACAGAGGACCTGTAGCCTGGAGCACTTGAAAGTAGCCCCTTATAGTGTTATCAACCACAGAGGCTGAGTATATTCTACTTACTACAGTGGCTTGTGAGGTACTTTACTTGCAGCTCCTCCTCAAAGAGTTGTATGACATCAAACATGTCCCCACATACATTTACTGCAACAATTAAGCAGCTGTTGCCCTCACATCGAATGGCAAATTTCAATCGTGCACAAAACACATTGACGTCAGATACCACTTCATTCAAACCCATGTCAAGAACAGCACCTCAGGTCACACTCAACTATTGCCCTAGCAAAGAGAAGGTTGCTGATGCCTTTACAAAGGCCTTACCCTATCCTCACATCCAGAAAATTTGTATGCTGATGAGCTTAGGAGACTGTGCTCAAGGGGGAGTGTTGGAGTCTAAACAATCTGGTGAGGGACCAGGTACAAGCACATAGTGACATGCACAGAGTGATGTGCGCAGAGTGACATGCACATAGTGACATGCACATGAGTGACATTGGCCAAGCTTTGTTGCATATGTTTTTGGTTTCAAACTTATATCTTCATCCTATTCTACCCATATGATAAAGTAATGCATACTGCTGTCAAAACATCTTAGTCCTTTTATTCAAGACTGAGATGTGAGTACCTACACTATTTGTTTAACATCTACAAGCTAACAGTACATTTAGAATATATCTACTAGGTACTTAGTCAAGTATCAGAGTCCTTTTATTTGAGACTGTCATATCCCGCATTTCCAGACCCAGAACTTCGGATCCTCACTTGTTAGACCCAGACTTTCATCCTAAATTCCATCTGGTGCTCCGGTTTCATCTCCAGATCTACACCTATCTCCTTTTAGATCACTGCTCTCTGGCTACCAGTCATAATATTTTCCGCCCCGCTTACTGATCTGTCTCTCTGTATTCATTTCTGACTCCATTTTCTTTGATCCATTACATACTTACTAATAGACTTTTCACATGCCTCATACATAGCCTTTTACTATGCTGACTGATTACTTACTTGATACCTACAGTATATAAACTCCTGTAAAACTCCATACCTCCTCAGTTTGAATATCATCTTAGTTCCTGCTCATTCCTGCTTCTCCAGACTTGAGTCTTACCTCTTGTCCACCTCCAAGTCTTTGGGTTTATTCCTTAGACTATATCTCCAGCTCTACCTTAGGGTAGTCTACCTCTGTTCCATTTCTACTCCGAACTTGTCTGTAGTAGCCTTACTCTAGTTCCTCTTGAATCTCTGGAGTTCCACCAAACTCCCCCTGTATCTGACTTCTGGACTTCACTGGACTTCCCTCCTACCTCTTGGAAATTAAGGATACTTGGGTAAGGGGTGCAGTGCACAAGCTGAAGTCATGCCCTTTGAGTTCTCCTCCCCTTGAGTATGACCTTCACAAAGACTGAGATAATAGTGGGAATCAAAGTAGATTTCTAGACTCGCTAGAATGCTCGGTAAAGCTCACTAGAGTTTGACAAAACTTAAGAGAAATGGAGCTGAGTAATACTGGCACACACCGGCATGAAATCAAACATTCAAATGACACTTGTTATTCACAAAAGGATGCATTGCAATGTAGGCAAAGTCATACATTAGGTAGAGTAGAAAGTGGAACTGTGATATATGTTTGTAACAAGTAATAGATCTCCCAATGTGTATTCAACTGAGAGAGATCAGCAAAAAAAACAAGTCCCCACAGATCAATGACATCAGGCATAGGTGAGGACTGGGGAGGAGGCTGAGGTAGAGTGCTGAGGGAGATTGAGCACCGGGGAGGCTGAGCACCAGAGCAAGGAGGCTGAGGCTGAGTGTTGGGGGGGGGGGCGAGGCTGAGGCTGAGCACTAGGGGGAGGTTGAGTGCTGGAGGGAGGTTGAGCACTGGAGGGAGGCTGAGCACTGGAGGGAGACTGAATGCCAGAGTGAGGAGGCTAAGGCTGAGCGCTGGGGGGAGGTTGAGCGCTGGAGGGAGGCTGAGCGCCAGAGCAAGGAGGCTAAGGCTGAGCACTGGGGGGGGAGGCTAAGGCTGAGCACCAGAGGGGGGAGGAGAACAAGTATCTGCTTACCATCCAGATCATCAATCTGCCCCCAGTGCCAGTGAAATGAGGAGGGCAGTGCTGTGAAGGGAGAGAATACAGAGTGCCTGGGGGGGTGCACTGAGCACCAGTGTCATATGGGCTTGAGGGAGGGAGCTGAGGGTTTTGGGGAGGGAGCTGAGGGTTTTGGGGAGGGAGCTGAAGGTTTGGTTGAGGGAGCCAAGGCCTAGGAGCATTTGGGTTCACAGAGGGACCAGCCTCCCCATGTGGATGGAGGAGTGTGAAGAAATCTGCAGTGTGGTTGACTCCCAGCTTGGAGGTGAAAAATTTTGCACCGCACATTGGGTTGGAGAAGAGGATGTTTGGGGCAATGGGCAGCACAGTTAGGATAGTAGGTTAGGTTAGGTTGCTCACTGTCATGCAAGACGAGCAAGACTTAGCACACTGACCATGGTAAAATTGAAACTCCGATTTAAACTCTGATTATCAATCACACATCAGTTAGGGGATGATAAAGGGACACATCTATCATGAGCTCTCATCATGCCTCGCCAATCCAGCTGCAAAAATCTCCTTCATGCAGTTAATAAAGCTGCACTGTCATTAGCCCAACTCCAATATCAGCAGGTATTAGAAGCTCAAGAGTCAAGCTCTGATTCCAGCTCCAATTCCAACTCTGATTCCAGCTTCAATTCCAACTCTGATTCAAGCATGGACATCACCTCTTCACCCACTCTTTCCTCCAACACCTCTGGTGAATTTTCTGATGAATCTAATGATTCTGATAGATCACTGCATATTATGATCAGCTTAAGCATCAAATTGCAGCCCTCTGTGATGAGGTTGCAAGGGCTCGTGTACTTCACAAGCCTGATGAGCCTCCCCCACAAGCTCCCCAGCTGCACATGCTTGTTCATCATGCAAAACACTGCCCTTATTTATTTTGGTAGAAGCTACGTGTTGACCCTATCATTTTTAATGACATTCTCAATCAAATCTCTGATCATTATATCTTTCTCAACCGATCCAATAATCCCCAGCTTCCCATTTTCATTCAGCTTGCTATCTTCCTCAATTGTGCTGACCACTATGGCAATGCAATTCCTCTGGAGGATGTTGCTCAATGGGCAGGTATAAGTGTTGGGTCAGTTGTGAATTGCACTAATTGTGTGATGATTGCACTGCTTGACCAGCATGACAAATTTGTCGGTTTCCCACATCCTGATTCGGAGGATGCTGAGCTTGCTCAGCAATATGCAGAGTCCAAGACTTGTCCTGAGTGGTGCAATGGCATTCTAGCTGTTGATGGCACAACAGTTGATCTCTACACCAAACCTGCTCATTTTGGTGAGACATTCTATGATAGGAAATCTAACTATTCTCTTGGCTGTCAGGTATTTTTCCCCCTCCCTTCATGGTCAACAATTAAATAAATTTTTAGGCAGTTGTTATGCCTCACAACCTTATCAACAATGTGATTATGCTCTTGGTCATCCTGGAAGTGTCCATGATGCCTATGCTTTCCAATCAACTCATTTCTATCGACAGCATGAAGCCCTTCTGCTAGATGACCATTGGGTTTGGGCTGACAGTGCATACCCACTTGAGAAGTGGTGCATAGTCCCTTTCAAGAAGCCTTACAATGGAAGGTTGACCAAGGACCAGAAGACATTTAATTATCATCTTTCCACGGTGTGCTCATATTTTTGTGATTTTTTCTAATGATTTGGTTACTGATTTTTATTTTTATTTAGGTTTGTGTATGTGTTGAGCATGCATTTGCTGCTCTTAAGGGGCGGTGTCAGTCCTTCTGAGAGCTTCAGATTGCTGTCCATTGGATTATGTGTTGCATCATCTTGCACAACATGATCATCTGATTTGAAGCTCACCATCACCAGCAGGATCCAAAATTCCACCATTCTCAGAGGTGGGCTGAACAGGAGGCCAGAGAACTTGCAGCTCGAGAGATTGAAGATCCTGATGGAGATGAAGTTGTGGGTGATAGGTCATATGAGGGTACTCCAGGGCAAGCTTCTTGTTTGAGGATGATGGATCAACTGTTTGACAGTCCTTACTCAAGAGCTGAACATAGGGAAGGATAACTTGAAAGGATCAGAGTCACATTGGCAACCAGAAAGCACATGTACTACTACAAGAGATTCAAGTAAAAAAAATTGTATCAAAATCAAGCTGCAAAGTAATTACGAGATGCTAAAATTGACATGACAACAAGGACAAAAAAAACATGACAATGACAACACATAATCAGCCAGATGGTGACGAGGATGAGGGACTAGCACCCATGGCATGCATCATGGTCTTATATTGGATCTTAAGGCACCAGGTCTCAGCCTCCCTTTCCTGCAAGGCAGCTGCAGCCTGAAGGTGCAGGATCTCTTTGTCCTTGGCCTCCTGCTTGCATTGATGTGTGGTGGCTGACATGAGGACTTTGTGTGAAAGTGATTCGCAGTGCCACTGAATATCCTTCTTCTGGGCTTGGTAATTCATCTTCATGGTGTAGTGCTCATTCCTCGATCTCTGGTGCTCGGACATGGTCCAAATATTGTTGTTGAGTATGCTGAGGTTGTCCTCCATGTCTGCCACCAAGGACCTCTTCTTCTTTGAGCTGCCTGAGCTCTGCAGCTTTGCAGACAGTGATGTCTACAATGCTGTCGGCGAAACACAATAGTCAGTCGATGCATAGGATGAGGATGCTGTGAATGAGGGAGTGGAGTGGCTGCGCATTATCCCCAATGACAAGGTGAATGAGGAAGGTCTACATAGCACCTGACCACCAGGGGAGGCAGAACCAAACACCTCGTGACTGTGGTATGTGGGTGTCTGGGGCTTCTGCGGCATAATGAAAGTATTTTTTTTGATGGGAGGGGGAGAAGGAGAGGCTGTGTACTACTGTTTATGACCCACCACTTTGGGGGGACTGTCAAGGCTGATCACACAAAGCCGGAAGGAGTCAAACTCCATCCCATCATTGTTGTCGTACATATTGACATCCCCCCCAAGCAACATATCCAGCGCATTGCTGAGGGGGGCAGAGAAAGGGCTGTTGTCGTCATAGAGGTCATCATCCGGATCATCGATTGGATTGCCCCCAGCGCCAGTGAAATGAGGAGGGGGGTGCTGTGAAGGGGGAGGATACAGAGTACTTGGGGGGGTGTGCTGAGCACTCACGGGACCGGGCTGACCAGGCTGAGCACTTGCAGGACCAAGCTGAGCGCTTGCTGGACCGGGCTGAGTACTCGCAGGACCAAGCTGAGTGCTTGCAGGACCTGGCTGAGCACTCGCAGGACCAAGCTGAGCACTTGCGGGACTGGGCTGACCAGGCTGAGCACTTGCAGGACCAAGCTGAGCGCTCATGGGACCAGGCTGAGTGCTCGCAGGACCAGACCGAGCGCTTATAGGAACATGCTGAGTGCCAGCGTCATGTGGGCTTGGGAGAAGGAGCTGAGGGTCTGGGGGAGGGAGCTGAGGGTCTTGGGGAGGGAGCTGAGGGTTTTGGGGAGGGAGCTGAATGTTTGGTTGAGGGAGCTGAGGCCCAGGAGCATTTGGGTTCATAGAGGGACCAGCCTCCCCATGTGGATGGAGGAGCACAAAGAAATCCGCAGTGTGGTCAACTCCCGGCTTGGAGGTGAAAATTTTCGCACCACACGTTGGGTTGGAGAAGAGGAAATGGTGGAGCTGGTCATACCACAGGAATTCAAGTAATGCTTGTTCTTAAAATAAAATAAAATAAAAACAACAGTAAAAAAACACTCACTGTGTAGATTAGCTGCTGCGTGTTTGTCAAGTGAGGTGACACCGGCGCCGGTCTTGTTAAATTTGTCAAGTTGCTCCTTGAACAACTTTCTAAGACTTTTGATAATTAAATTAGTAGCTACATATCTGAGCGATAGAGATCACTTATGAAGCAACGTGGTTGCCCACCGCTACATCAAATTTCTTTGTGTCTTCAGCATATGCCGCCAAATATTCCGAGTCCTTCTCAAAGATCAGTTTCACCAAGACTCAATGGATCTCCCCTTTGTCCTTTCCAGAAGGACACTCCTCAGTGCTGTAAGTGGCGGATTTTTTCCCCTTGTAAAATAGTATGCGGGCGTCCGAAGGGTGAGTGGAAAGATGCCTCACAAGGGTGTCTGTGCAGTGGAGATCTGAAGGTCTGGTCCAATGGATGATTATCTTCAGTCCGGCAGCCTTAGAAGGCTGATTACAAGGGGGATTGGACCCATGTCCTCAAGATTTCCCTCTTCCATGGGATGTGGATGGATTGGGGGGCAAATCCATTGCCTTTGGGCGAGTTCGAGCATTTGCTTGAAGCCTTGCAGAATGGCAGACACATTGGTGAACAGCAGGCATTAGTATTTAAGCTCTGACACCAGATGCCGGCCGACCCCATCATTGTTGGCTGTGCTAGAACGCCTAGCCAGCTTTTTACCGAGCATTCTAGCGAGTCTATAAATCTACTTTGATTCCCACTAATATATCTACTAGCTCCCTTTCTGTTCACATTTGTTTGGCTCACATAACCACAAAACTTGGATATGAGCTTGTACAAGTCACCAGATGAGCGCAGGTGAGCACAAGTCAGGCCCAAAGCTTCAATAGCAGCGAATTTGTGCCCACCTTCAGTTCTGATCTTGCGAGGCAATCACAAAACTTGAGCAAGTTTTCTGATGGGGTCATCCTTGATAGCACATATAGTACCTGTATGCTTGCATATCACTATCACTCACCAAAATTGCCATAGTGATTCACAGTCTCGCAGCAACTGTAAGTAAATTTCTGACATGTGTTCACCACCCTGAAGCAGACATGGTTTTTTTTCATGCTGTCTCTTGTTTGCTCTTGAGCCAGTCAAAACCAGAACATCACTGCTGGTCCATGATAAGGTCATAATGGCTAGGGTGTGGATAAGTTTGGTTGAAAGTGTTTAGATGGCAAGGACGGCATCCATTGGTTGTTGTAGTAGACCACAAGTAAGTATTCTGTGCAATTCAAGACTTGAGTTGACCACATCACAATATTTAATTTAATTTTGTTCCTTTAATACTTACTGCAATTTTTATAAATAATGACAATCACCCAAAAAGAAATTTTATTTGTGGTTATGGTGTTGTACAGTGTCTGGGCATCGTTACAATAAGGCATTTGACTTTGACATCTGCCACATCATGGTCAACCGGCACATCAGCAATGATGCTAAATGCATCACTATGTGCCTAAAAGCTCATGGTCAAGACTTGGACCATGAAATCTGCAACCTAGTCAACTTCTCTTGATCAACATTGCATCGTACTCTACAACAGAAGCATGCTACTGGCTATGTTGTGAAGAAAGCTGCTATTGGGCATGGATGTCCACACAAACTCGTCTATGCAGATTGCTCATACTTACTACATTTGGCTCAGTCACAAGCCAACCCTTTTTTTGGCTGAGTACTGCCGCCGTCTCAAGTACTATCGTGATCTACCTGTTTCTCTTGCCACCATCCATCTTTCATTCAAACGCGCTGGAATCAATGTCAAGCGAGTACAAAAGCTTGCTCCTGAATGCAAGCCAATGGTTTGTGCTGCATTTGTCTGTTGAATTGGCCAATATCCACCCAACTACCTGATCTGCTTGGATGAAGTGTCGAAAGATGACAGGACATATGCACATCTTTGGGGTCGGGCACCTATCGGAGAATGTGTTGAGCAGCATGAACCATTTGTCCATAAAAAACGGTTGTCAATCATTGCTGCGAGGGTTCTTGAGGGATCATTCACGCACCAGACCTTCTATGAGTGCCTTTGTGATGATCTGGTATGTTTCTTGTCTATCACAATGTTTCCAAACTCAACTAGTCCCAGTTACCATTGACAAACCCATATCCTGCACACACAAAGTGTTATCATTCTTGATAATGCATGTATCCACCACTCTGAAGAGGTTGTTGATCTCATCCATGGTTATGGTAATTGATTGTCCCTTAGCCCTTGTCAATGTGCTGATATCCTGATGCATTGTTACAAGGTTGCCAAGTCGAATACCTATCACCATATTCCCCAGACTATAATCCTATTGAGCAAGCATTCAGCGTCATCAAATCACACCTTCGTCAGAGTGGATTCCATGCCTTTAGTGTGAAGAAACTTTACTATGAGCTGTACCATGCTTGTGACTATATCATGCCATCAATGACATGGGGCTTTTTCCGTAACTCGGGTTATATTTGACAACTTACAATACAGTTTTACGAGCATGAACTTTCAGTAGCATACAATAGCAGCACAATATCAGATTCAATGTCCTTCTTTCCAGCACTCCTCAGCATCACAAATAATTGCAAGTTCACCTAGAGAGAGCCTGCCCTCAGTATGAAGTTGTTCATCAGAAATGAGACAAAATAAGTGGGGTCTTTTGAAATGAATTGCTTCAAGCTTGTCACAAAGATCCATGGATAACCCAAACTGGTAGGCAAAAGTACGAAGATTGAGTTTAGGAGGGATAGCCTTTGGTCAGGAGCTCACGCTATGACTTGCAGCTGAAGGAGAGGATGGTCGAATAAGTTCTGCAAGCCCAGCAAAGTTGACAGTAATGTTGGACTGGTTGTTATGGTCACGGCCTGCAAGCTGTGCACGCCGCTGATGTGCAAGAGCTGTAATATCATCTTTGTCATCACTGTGGTTGCTCACATCAAATATTTTCGAGTTTGGAGGATGGTTGATATCAACACTGAGTATTTCAGCTTCCTGCAAAGGCAAACTATCAGTAAACACACAATATAAGATGTTGCCAGTATCCTGCCATTGCAGCTGCCCAAGTTCAAAGGTGCTTGTGGGTGAGATGGACATGTTTGGCAGATGGACCTGAGGGATAGCAAAGGTCATATGGGCAGGTGCGATCTTTGCAGTGATACTTGTTTTGCAGCTCAGTGATGTGCTGGTCTTGTGCTATTTCCTCCACTGATGGCAGATGCTACAAACGATTATGCACATCACAAGAGCAAATTCTGATGCATACATACCTGTTTTCTCTTCTTTCTGGGGTTCTCATTCTCTTCAGCATCATTCTCATCTTGCTCATCTTCACCGTTCGTGGCATCAGCATTTACAACCTGAATTGTAATGACAGTGTAAGCCAAATATACCCTAATGAGGAGATGGGTACCTTCTGTTCGACTAGCTTGAGTGTAACTTCTTGTTTTCTTGCATCTTGAGCTTGAGTACAGAGTTCCATATAGTCATCTTCATTGTCAAGGGAGACATCTTTGTTCTGAGAGCGGTAGACAGTGTACATGAAAGAGAGTGAGTCTGATCCAGCAAGCTCAAAGCCATTGTAGAGCCAAGAAGTGCTGAATAAGTCATGTTGTTTGATATTGTCAAGAACCTTGACAATCATGTCCTTCACAGCCATGTCTTCATGCACATAGACTATCTTTGTGATGGTTGTCAGCTTGGCATTCTTTTGGCACTTGGGGTCGGCTGGCTGAAGAGGCACAAAGATTATGCTGAATTTCATTCCCTTCTCATCATTGTACTGGCTCGGGCCCCCTGTGCATGGTGAGCATGATAGTACATGGTTTATGTTCTAGACATCAGCATACATCCATCATTCACTTGTTTGTCACAGTTGTCATCGTGCTCTGGGCTGTCCTCGCGGTTGTTGGTATATGGCATCATAGTCAAGGTATGGAGTACTATTTGACTTATTAGACACTGAAACACGCCGAGAGACGCGTCAAAACCTTTTCTTGTCTTTTTTGGCAAGTGTCATTATTTATAAAAATTGCTATAAGCATCATGCAGTTGATACTTATACTACATCAAGTGGAGTGTCGTTTCACATCGTGAAAAACACAAAAGTCGTTCAGCAAAAATGTTCTAATAAATCAAATAGACACAGGCACATTGTATTGCCAAAGTACTGTGAGATCTTCAAAAATATGTGGGAACTGCATAGACATAGCAAACGGCGTCAGTAATCATAATTCAGAATAGTGGATGTATGTCGTAAATCCATTATCAATTTCATCACACCATGTCATCCACCATTTTCGCGCTTGCTTTCTTGGCTCCGGCCGATGTCTTGAACAAAATCCTTTTGAGACAAAAAACCGGCCACGCTACACGCTGCAAGAACGTAGCATTTTTCTTGTGGAATGAGCTATGCGTCTGAAGCGTGATGATGATATAAACAGTGAGGAGCGTGAGCGAAATAGTGGTCTCGACGTATTGAGGGATTGTCGCTAAAGTTCCTGGATTGATCTCTGCGACGTTCATCCCAAAGACGGACTGAGAACACAGGTGGTCAGATAGGGTGTGCACAAAAGACCTAAACGCTTACGGCTAAGAAGCTTGCAGGTAGGAAGATCATCATGAGGTACGCGATCTCAGAAAAGCAGTTTGTTAGTACCTGGTAAGCCATTTCGATTTGATGAAGAAGGATACCTGTTTCATGGCTGCGGAGTCCCTGACTGTCTCCTCAGTCAGCGTCCGTGTCTGTCTACTGTCCTCAAGATTGACACTAGCATAAGCAAGATCCGTCGCATTCTTCAGTCGGCTGCTCAGCATCATGCGTCGCTTCTCAAGACGGTCTATTTCGCCGACGAGGTTCTGGCACTCCTTCTTCATAAGTTCATTCGACTCTATGCGCTGTTCATCAGAAAAGACACTGGACTCCATGGCCGGATTCTGGGTCTTCTCGATAAATGTTACTGATACCTCAAAGCTATGAAGGAGCACTTGATAGTGCAGAAGGTGCACTTGGAGGACATGAAGCTCGCGAGTGAGCGCATAATCTTTTAGCACTTGTGATTCCTAAATGTGCTTCAGTAACATCACTTCGACTCTGCACCAGGCCTGCTTACCAGATCGCTGACATGGTTGTCTAGCAACTCAAAGGACTCATCCCATGCATATAGCCCATACCACAAAATCGCGAGGAACACGAAGGTCGGGTCTTTGGACTTGCTGAATATTTTCTGCCAGTATACACTGCCCCCCACCAGCTGCATGAGCGAGTGGAGGTGCTTCGCGGATGTTTGGCGCCATGCAGAATCGGGATGGTAAGAAATAATGGTGCTCGTGTTTAAACCACGGACCATGTGGATTGTGAGGAGGTCGATCACGAGCATCTGATCTGAGGAATGTTAGAGCGTGAATGTAAGAACATCGATGTACATACCGCCCATAGGATAATGAGCCTGGGTGTTGATCCTGGTACCTGTCTGAGGTGAACAGGGCGACTATGACAGGTGATGGGCCACTTACCCGCGGATTGTGGTGGTATATGATTGCATGGTGCATGATCGTATGGTGGTCGAGATCCCAGCATCACTCGTACAAATGGCAGGGTAATAGTGATGTCTGACACACGTATCAGCTATGCAACTCAAAATGGAAGGTTCGGACTTACGGTCTCCTTCTCCATGGATAGGCGCTTCCTGATAATATGAGGGTATCCAATTAATGGAAGACGTGAAAAAGAATGGCTCGACGTTGTATCTACGTATGACACCTCAGAGTGAATAGATGAGTAAAAGACGCCACACACTTTGTCCCAAGCATGCGTAAGACAGGTGACGTTAAGTCATCCACGAATCATGATTGCATCCGGATATTCGTGGGTCGCTGCAAATCCCATATGACGCCCCAACCAGCATACCAGCACAAAATGAGACTCACCTGCCCCTGTAATATATTCCAAAAGTCATCCTCGCGTTGACTGGTAACTACCGTAGTATGACCATTTTCTCCCATATCTGGGGCTATATCTGGGGATATGAAACTCCCGTCGTGAAGTACATCTATCCAGTAAATGGCGCTAGACTGATTCTTCGAACACTTTTCGAGCATCTGACTGCGGTGCACTTGATCTGAAGTCCAGTTCCCAAACTGGTTCTGAGGGTACCCCACCCAGGATTGATCAATAATGACCGTTGGAGAGGTCTTGAAATTGATGGCATTAACGTCCATCCATGGCCATGGTCCCGACGGTGCAGCATGTTGATATCTAGTAAGAGCATCAGTCAGTGAATACAAGGTAGGAAAGAGAACATGAACAGAACTTACGGGGGTGCAGGCACTGCAGGTGGCAAAGCTGTATCCTTGAGGTCTTCAAGAGGAACGTCCTTCGAGTCATCTTGATGGACTCTGTTGAAGGCGGCTGTCAGTTTCTTGACTGACATGATGGTTAGCGTTTGGAATCAGTTCATGCTGCAGGCGTGAGGAAGGGTGTTGATGAATTTATATTTTATGGAGATGGGCAGCTCAGCGCTCCGTGCTGTATGCCTAGTGCCCAATCGCAAGAACCCCGCTACTTACAGACCCGATACTATGGCCATGTTCAACTTGCTTGATTTAGTAATTTCAGTTACTACCTATATTGCCTTTTTGGACCAGGTTGAACGACGACTTCACTGATACCGGCTCACACAAAAACTTGAAGAAACTCAAGATTCGAATTCAGAACCTCCTGTATTATTATTATTTCCCTGACTCGTTCGAATGCACCTCATCCTTTGCCTGACCCGTCTTGTCTTCACAGTACAATTCTTAAATGTTGTTGTCAATGTTGACTTTGTCGGAAATTTCCCACCTCCATTGTAATGGCAGGTCATTGAGATATATATAACATTAAAATTGTAATGGTACCTCATTCCACGTGATATTATTACAAGATATTGTAATGCTTTGCACAAGTTCTGTCAATACACAAGCGACAACAAACATTGGTGATAGAGTCTATTATAATGTAATTGAATCAGATAAGACCGATATAGATTTCAGATTCTGCTGTTATTGTTTTTGATGCATGATTCATCAAACCATCGGGACCAACATGGCAGAGGTGACCTGTGACCTCTGTAGTAAATCATTCAAGCCGCGTGGTTTCAGGACGCATCGCACCGCCTGTGCAAAACATGCGAGGGATTTTGAGGAGGACCAGCATCACATTGTGAACACTTATTACCAACCTTCAGGTGCAATTCTGATTTTTTCTCGAGATGCCAAACATTACTGTCACAGTACACTCAACCGCAGTTAATGTCCCATTCGATGCACATCGTGCAGCTGAGCAAGCCGACAATCTGAATCAACAGGTGGAGAGTTTGAATGCATGCATCGCCAATGAGCCTGTTGTGGATGATTCAGATAACCAGTGGATGGGTGTTGAGGATGAAGGTGAGTGAATAAATCTTTGCCTTTGACATTATAACTAGCAGCTGTTTTATAGATATTCATCGTGTGCCTTCACCATATGAACCGTCTGTAGATGGTTCAGAGCATCAAGCAACTTGGCATAATGTTGATGATATTCGGACTGAATATCACCCCAACTCTGGAATCCCAGCGCAAACACAGACATTCTCGACGTTTCAGTGCGACAATTTGGAAGACCCACCAATTCCCTGATACGCAACCTTGGGTGCCATTTCAATCTCGCCTAGACTTCAAGGTAGCTGAACTTGCTCATGAAGCTGCCCTTAGCCAGCCTCAAATTGACCGGCTGATCAACCTTTTGCATCGCTCGAAGCAGGATTCAGAGTCTTTCACCCTCCGCAACTACAAAGATGTTCGGAACACAGTGGAGTGCTATCTCCCATCATCTAACTCCAGTAAGGTCCTCTTGGTGTTTTGATAGTTTACAAAGCAAACAATCCAAGTGCCTTACAATGGGGTTGATCAAGAATTCACCCTTTGCTACCGGGACTTATGGGACTGGGCATGCGACCTCCTTCGAGACCCTTATATTGGCCCCCAATTTACCTTTGACGCTCAACGCCTGTCAAAGTTTGATGGGAATACATTTGTGAGATTTATCGATGAGCCTTGGACTGCAGATAGGTTTTGGGAGGCTCAGGTGAGTGTTGAGTAGCACAACATTAGTTTCAGCAACTCACTCAAGTTTAATACATCCAGTCATCTATGCACGGCCATGCAAAGCCACTTGCATTTATCCTCTATGCAGATAAGGCAAAGTTGTCTTCCTTTGGTCGCAAAAAAGGCTACCCTGTGATTGCCTGTATTGCAAACCTCCCAGCATCCATCCAAAATGGCGAAGGGGTTGGTGGCGGTCGAGTTGTCGCATGGCTCCCCATTGTATCGTGACTCCATCCTGCTTGACTATTGTTTAACTAACACTGATTTTTCAAGGTCAAAGATGATCCCTCGAAGTCGGGAAACCCAAAATTTGCGGATTTCAAAGTGGCGGTTTGGCAGGAGTCCTTCAAGCTCATACTCAAGTGTCTTAGATCGAAGAGGAAGCATGGTGGATGGGTTGAGTGTTGGGATAAACTTCAACGCCTTTTCTTTCCTTTTGTCCCGATCTTGTCTGCAGACTACAAGGAGCAGTGCGTATAGTCCAGAGCATTATCTATCGTGCTTCTAAGGTGTATTATGTGCAGATGTGTTATGTCCCTGATCCATGGAGTCATGGGAAAATTTCTGTGTCCCATTTGCTTGGTTCCCCATGACGAGTTACATAGTCTGTTGGACACCTGGCCACTTTGCACATGTCGCAATTCTGTTCGCCTGCTCAGGAAGGCAAGAAGGAAGACCACTAAGGCAAAGTGAGAGAAGAAGTTGAAGTCTCAGTCGCTGAGAGATGTTGAAGTAAGTATTTGAATCTTATTATATTGCTGGAATCAAGTTCACAGTGTAACTCAACAGAACTCTCTCAATCTATCAAAGCTTCTGGACGTCTTTCATGCCCTTTGTTTTGACCGCCTACATACCCACCATGAAGGACTGTGGGGGAAACACTTGTGGATCGAGCTGCAAAAATGGATTAATGAAGCCGGTAGACAAGCTGCGACTATGATAGATGAAGGGTCTGTTTTTCGTTTCATCACAGACATCTGAATCCATTACAAGTGTTTCTCAGGTTTGCAGCAGCGCCAAGGTGGTGGAATCTCAACCACTTCAAGGAAGTCATGGGAATTAGCTTCGCTGACGGGACAAAGTACGAAGACATATTAAAGGTGATTGACTCGGACACTCTCAAAATTTCAATTATAATTGATGTTCACCCTTTACATGCAGTTGATCGTGTTTGTTGCTCATGACATACTCGATCCTGAAGTACACAAGCAAGGATATCTCCTCCTTCAATGTATTCGAGCCCATTTAGATGTAGACATGTTCGCAGCTCTTGAAGTGCACACCATGGAGACCCTTGCTGCTGGTCGAGCCGCTCTTGGTGAGTTTTCTAGACTCATGGATGTAAGTTGTGCTTTACGCTAGCGCTGTCGAGTAGCTGACAGATCATCCATAGAAATATATGTCTAAATCTGGATCTGAACTGAAGAATTGGAATTTTCCAAAGGATCACTTAGCTGTTCACCTTTTTGACGATATCAAGGCCAAAGGAGTTACTCGGAATTTCAACACCAAACCAAATGAGAAAGCACATAGACCCCTGAAAAAATATTACCAGCTCCGAACAAATTTCAAACAAGTTGCAGACCAGGTCGGGCGTCTGCTACTGCTTCTGAACTTACATTGATTACTGAGAATACTAGATCTTACGTGCAGACCATTGGAGCCTTGTATCGGCATGGATTTGCTATCGCCTCAATGATCTCAATGACTATAACGCAAGAAAGGAAGTGAGTGCTCTTGGTGGTTCAGATTTGGATTTGGACACAGATGACACAGCCCTGGACGAGAGAGTTACACCTAGATTGGAGTCCACTGGCAGCTTTCATATCAAGCTTGGTTCATGTCAGCATATATCCTCGATAAATGCCATTCAGCAAGCACACCTCGAAGACCCAGCATTTCATCAGTTTCATACCAAAATTAACCGCTTTCTTAACACGATACCCATCATTACACGGAATGGACATGTTGCACTTGAATTGGGTGCTGATACAGTGAGATTTTTGTTCTTCTTGATGAGTCAGCCACAACTTTAATACTTTGATTTGCACTGTACCGACAGGTGACAGAATTCCAGTTACTTGCAAGCAAACTTCGAGTCGACGGTTGATTTTTGGACATCAAAAGACTACCTCCACTGCTCCCCGATGTTCCACAATGTGCCGAGATATGACTCCGTCATTATCAGGACCCAAGATGGGATCATCTTTGGTCACTTGATCTTCATATTCATGTGCTTGGTTGGAGATGCAAGTTACCCCATGGCTCTCATTCATCCTTGTGAAGCCCCTATTCCAAATTGACCTTTGAAGGACAGGCACCTAGGGTTATGGCGAGTTAGAGCTCAACCTCCTTCGCTGAATCGATTATCAGGGGGGCACTGTTGCTTGAGGATTGCTCTCAGCCTGGTGACTTCTTTGTTGTCGATTCCGTCGACACTGATATGTTCCTTCGCATGAAACTTCACAAAGACTCTCATATATACTGATTGCGCCAGTGTAGTGTTTAATAGTCCGGTCTTGTGCATCTGCCTCTAGATCTCCCACAGCCAGTGTATTATGTACTACATACATTTGATGTTGGCATATGAGCTACCGACAAAATTTTCAAATCCATACTACAGCTGGTCTTTCCCGCAAAAACAACCTTGCTGCTCATGTACGAAGATCACCACCTTGCAAGCTATTGGTTTTATCTGCGAAACCATAGTATGTTTACCTTCTGTACTCGATCGACCATTGCTCATCTAACACTGAAACCCAGAAGCCTTGACCTTGAGTCTGCATTCAACTTGTAATGACGTCGTACTAGTCAGAGTCTAGCGGTATGTGAGAATTATTATTACATTTGTCATAATCGCTTCAAAATTGATTTAAATAACATGTTCTGAATCAGATTCAGCTTTCTCAAGACATCTTAATTGCCCTAAACCACCATGGTCCTCAGAACAAGAGACACTGTTGTTGCAACATGGGGTTTCTGAATCATCCCAACCTCACGTCAATGGTGAATTTCAATTGATTCACTGTCAATTTTATTACTATTAACCACCAAACAGTTCAGGCAGCTGTATTAGCTGCTGCTGTCATTCAACAAGTCCCTAATGATGTTAGTTCTGGCTCGACTCTGAATTCTGCATGCAATTCCATCAATTCAATCGGCACTTCTGAATCCCCCATACGCTCTCTGACAGTACCACATTTCTACTATCAACAATGCCTGTCATCAAGTTACCAGGACTGGCCATATTCTGGGAACATTCGTGTTGAAGTAGACACTTCGTCCGAATCAGATTCCGAAAAGCTTGTCAGACCTAACATTAGTCGACAGACTGCAAGTGTGCAGCAGGTATTGTAGTCATACTTGATGTTGATCAGTCCTGAGAGCTTATTTTTTGTCATTGATAACAGCGCGCCCCTGCCCGCATTGACAATAGGCTTCAGCATGGCCACATTGTCAGTAGCATGACAAACCAACAGCAACAGCGTGCGGACCCTTTACCTTGCCGTATCAATGCTGATCATAGGCTTCAACATGCCCAAACAAACCAACCATGTATCGACCCTGGACCCTCTGATGTCACTAATAATGTGACAAATCAACACCGTCAACATGTCCCAACCGTCAATCAGCATCGTGAACGTGCCCCAGTTGTCGATCTCGCAAACCAACCACACCAAAATGCAAGGCTGCCCACACTACAATGACAACCGTCCTCAGAAACAATTGCCTCGGTTACTACTACAGGCTCTGGTGTTGTTGAGAAGTTCTACTCAGTCCGATGCGGCTGGCGCACTGGTGTATTTACCTCAAGGTATTTAAAATTATCTCCTTCAAATGGTTTCCTGATGTATTGTTAATTTTGACAAATTATAGATTAGCGGCTGTTATGTTTGCGCGTGGTGCCGCAGGGGGAAACTACAAGTCATTTCGAAGCAAGCGAGCAGCTGTGGATGATTATCATCTCAACAAGGGGCAAGCATAATACTATGTTGGTGAATGTCCTGTCAGAATCAATGTTTCTGCCAGCGATTCAGATGTGTTGTTGATGTACTGGCAGCAGCGACAATTTAGTCTTTCACAATAGTCACTCTATTATCTCATATACCCACCAATTCATATGCATGATCTCACATTTATTGCTATTAGTTGTATGAAGTGACTGTTAGTCAGAATGTGAACTGGACCCTGGACCCAACTCTGTTGTTGGATTTGGAATCAATGGATCCTCCTGCTTCCTCATATGCAAGGTGTGCTGGAAATTCAGAAGCTCATGGGCAATCATCAGGTGAGCGCTCCATTCATAGTTATGACTGGGAAGCTTACCTGCTTCTTATTATTGTTAATATGCCTGGTCCAGGACCTGGTGTGCTGGAGAAGCTCACGAGCGCTCCATTCATGGTTATGGCCTATTAGGTATGTCAACGATCTATTACTTGAATGTTATTTGAAGCCTCAACCGAATCCTCATTCGTGCTTGGCATCATAGGGAACACCTTCTCCATGATGTGTCGTCAACCGACCTTGGAGCATAATACACACCTCAGTGGTGTGTTTTGATCGATTCTGAATCAGATTTGGAGTGCTCAAGGTTCCTCGCAATGGAAATTCTGATCCGATGATTTAATTTCTAGTTGCCATCATTAATATTACTCCTCTGAATCTGCCTAGACTTACACTGATTATTCCATGCTGACAGCCACAAATCGGATCGCAACAGTAAGTCAACGCAGACTCAGAAAGGTGACGGAATCTGGCAGTGTTGATGTAACACGTCTCATGTTATATTACATAGGGGAATTAAGTCCACGTCAAGTCAAGTGCCTCACTTTGTCTGATTCAGATCCTCATGCATTGTCCCCATCACATTCCCGTCATGACCCACGTAAACGAGTACTCAAGCGAGTAAGTCCTTGCTGTGCATCATCAGGACACATTTTTTGATCACTTGTTAGCCCACTTTGAATGACAATATATTAACCCCCAGCATTATTTCAATCCCCCATCGACCACTCATCTGCGTCTTCCCTCAGCTTGATCTGCATTGACATTACGGTCGAAATTCCATCAGTGTCCCGCTATTCAAGATGATTCAGAATGGACCATACAGTCATATTAGGTCCAATGATTCAGACTCTGAGGCTGCAGGCTTGCGATGTCATGCTCCTGAACCTTCTATCTCCAATCCTCATCCTGCGGCAGGTGCAACAAGTCAAATTCGCACATCTGCTCATGAAGAATCTCATATTAGTACAGTGAGTTAGATATATCAAAACAGTTGTCATACTCGAGTGACTCATTCAGATCTCTTTAAATAGACTTTGAAGGAGGCTCAGCTCCAGTTAGAAGCTGTCAAGCAGTGCAATCAACTTTTGGAAGAAAAGAATGCCATTTTGGAGGCCAACAAACCCTCTCGCAAAACCTCCAAGGCACCCTCCCAGCCTTGTAGCATTTGACGAGGAAGTGAAGATGTTTGCTAAGAAGTATGGCGTCATGTATGAGATGTACCCACCCAGCGCCGAGCTACTAAAGAAGACTCTGCCTTCGATTGGCTCGTCATTTGACCGGCCAGCTCGCTATGCAAACTTGGCTGCAGAAGCGGACACATTATTGTCTGAACTACGTAGTGTGCTCCTGGATCACCTGCACCATCTCATATCCTCAAATCATTTCCATAAGACTGTACGTGTGTACATTATTAATTGACTTCTATGTACTAATCCTTGTCCAGCTGCAACAAGCACTTGAAGCTGGTCGGTCTTCCAAACTCATCAAGTTGCGACAAGTTGGTGGTCGCATTTTTGGGTTAAGTTCTGATTACTTTGTCACATCCTCAAAACAAGACACCGTCGATGAGCTTTGTAGGCTGCTAGGTACTATACCCGGAAGCCATACCTACCCACCATTTCCTCCCATTCTCTTTCCAAACGCAGTTGTTGACGCTAGTAATTCAACTGTCTTTGGTAACTGGAAGCCCTTGGCTCAGGTACGTTGCCATTTCTTTGTTCATATACAGCTTACTGAAAATGACGATGTCCCCAAAACAGATCTTGAAAGCGGTTTTGATGGGCGAAGCATCCCTTACATCTGTCAAGAAGGGTGGGCCACCTAGAAACTACAAGATTTGGGGTGTATCTACCATAATGCCCGGAGCAATTGCATGGAGCACCACAATTGTAAGTGGTTCATTTTATTGCTCCCATCGTCGCTGAGCATTCTTCATTGCAGGCCATCTTTCTTCTATCACCAGATATGGTATTCTCTCAAGATGGCCACGGCAAAAGCTCGGGGATTCAATACAAAAATCTATTCTACAGCTTCAAGAAGATTTTGGTGTGTTGCTGGGATGCTCCGTATCTCACAAAGATCAGATGCCACATTGAGGGACATATCTTTGGAGCCGCGAAGCTACCAGTTGATGCACCTGATGGGAAAGACTTTACTGTGCAGATTGCACTTGCAATGGCTGTTACGCCAAGTGTAATGCAGGCAAACAATCAATCAAAATAAGACAGTCGGTCTTATAATACATTCTAGACAGAGGTCCAAGAACGTCCAAGTCAAATAAAGGCTAAGTACCGAAGAGGTAACTTAGAATCAAGTCAGAGTGTTCAGAGGAAAACCAGCGTAGGTTAAGCTGAAGAATCAGCGTCACCTAGCCAGGGTTTATATAGTATACTGGGTACAGGGTATGACGTAATAATAGGTATGTATCAGTAAGCACATGCGTAAGCAATGAGGCGTCTGAGTAATACTGAACTAAATATAGCATGATAAGAGACATGCTTAGTAGGCATGGATCAAGGGAAAAAGAAGCAAGATAAGCACAGCTGTAACAATGGCTGGCTTGCAATCCAATGATGCCGACGAGGATTTGGATTCTACCCCGGGTGACTCCGCTCAGGGTATTGAAATCACTCAGTCTGCGCTGAATTCTCCGCTATCGACTCCAAGGTTGTCCATAGTTCCTGAAATACCTTCCAGTGGCTCCAGTGCTCCTCTCGTAATGCCACTCACTCCTGCAGTTACTGCGGTCAATCAGAACTTGCTTGTTTTCAATGACACAGGTGACGTGGAGCTCAATGAAGGGGTGACTGGAACTATAGATGCAGAGGATCATGCAGAGCCTTTCAATGAGGGTCATACTCGAGGACGGAAGAAGAAGAAGTCTGCCCGTCAGAAAAATTAGCAGTAATATTACGACTCCAGTTCATTGCAGTCCTGATAATTAGTTGGTCGTCGTGTCTGTCAATGAATCATGTTATTAATAATCTAATAAGGCCATCTGAATCATGCAATGATAAGAGATTCAGAATTCTTCAGAATCTGTAGTGGAAATTGAGCAGGAAACTCGCTTAAAATCTAAACACTACAAATTGATTTTGACTGTAACTGTAACAACCTTCTATTCTTACCTTCTAAATTTTTCAATGGTGATTCTGAATTGACACATTCAGACACCTGGACCTGGACCTCCCATCTGAATCAACTCCTCGAGTCCCCCTGCAGACAACTCCAATGTCTGCAAAATGCTCTATTGTATATTACTCGGTGCACAAGACCTGGACCTTGCAGATGATTGAAGCTGCAGCTGTCAATGTGCGTTAATGTTTATTCATACCTATGGACAGCACATTGACATATTAACACAGCAGTATTAACAGCTGTTTCCGAGCTATGTGATCTAGCGCGCGTGTTCAAACGATACCAGTCTGAATCAGGGTCTGTATTAATTTTGTCTCACCTTTTGATAATTGTTCTTGGTTTGACGCTTTGATATTAGGGCGCATTGTTGCACGCTATCAACACTCTCTTGGGTAGAATGCACATCTGAATCTATGATGCAAATAATCTCCCACAACGACACCCACACTCAATGCAATGGTGCTCTTGATTGGAATTCGCACATCCTTTGTGACTGTTTGGCGCACCATCCATGTATGCAGTGCGCGAGCTCCATTCCTTGTGTTCAGTTCATACATAATCACTTATCAATATGTCCCACTCTGTTTCACTTCTTCGGGCGGTCTCGCAGCCACCTGCGACACATTCCGGTGGATGTATTTTATATACTGTAGTGTATTCACTAGAAATTTAAATAGTAAACAAATATTATATTCATTGCACCCCAATTGTTACAACATGGATTGTAATGTTTATTGCAAGGAACATGGTGACAGATGTTCGCCAAGTTGCTGAGAAGTTGAAATGCACGTCTAAATGGAGAATATAATGAGGATTATGGACACGCTTGCTTCATTAGAGCTTCTATTGCCAGCACCATTATGAAATTCATTGCAATTGCAGTTGCCACACAACTCCTTTATGACATTAGCACTGTCTGTGAACATGATTGCTGTCGCTTATCCAAGGCACAAGCTGATTGCTGAAGCTGAGTTAGTCATGTTGAACCTTGTTGGACCCTGTTGAACTGAACACTGACACATCAGGGTTATCAATATTTAAGAGCACTTTGAATGGAGTTTCCTGGTACCCTGTTATCACTCGGACCTTACTCGGTTCCCACAAACCCTGCACCAACAAAGTCCGAACATGGACCTACACCTCAGCATTACGGATATCACAAAAGACCTCGAAAACCACATTCTAATTCAGCTCTCCGACTCGAAATTGGTTCTCCAACCTGTATATATAAGGGCTACCTCCTGCACAGGATATGTGCCCTCAATGTTGACGACTTGCTAGATCCAATCCATTCCACTTGTGTCCCAATATTGCAGTTCAGTACTCTAGACGGTGCACTTCATGGATGATACTATACTTACTTAGATGATTTATCAAGATAATGTAATAATTGCAACTTGAACATATCTCAGTTGACTGCAATGCCAGCTGCTTGATTGAATGTGCCACAATGAACCATGAGCAGGCTGATCATGCACGCCTTATATCACTGCTGCCGACAACTTCGAACATGCCATCACTGAGTTATTCAACATTGATGTCCCTGGCTTCAACTGCATTGCTGCCAACACCACCCAACACAGAGGATTGCACCGCTTGCATCATCTCGGTGTATTCATCACCAGGCATTCCAAAACCCAAGCCTGTACCAGTACTGCTGCCGTCGCTGCCGTCAAAACATTCACATTCACATCGCCAGCTGTAACTCATTTGGTAGTAGTATCTCATTGGGTGGATCATTGATATTGTTGCATTTTTTTTATCAACACTTACACTCACTTCACCTGTCTCGATGACTCTAATATATCCAGTTTCATTGCTCTCCCCCAAAGCTGGCCTTCCCTCTGCATAATTCTACCTACATTATGCTGCCGACAACTCTGGACACGCCATCGCCAAGCTATTTGACATCTTCAACTGCATCGCCACTAATGCCACCCGGTATGGAGGATTGCACCACTCGCATCATCTCAGTGTCTTCATTGCCAGGCATTCCAAAACACGAGCCTGTACCAGTACCACTGCCATTGAAACACAAAGTGTTCACATTTGCGTCGCCAGCTGCTTGGTAGTGGTATCTCATTCAAGTTGGGTGGATCATTGCCATTGTTGCATTTTTAACAGCCTTCCCATCAGCGCATGCACCAACTAGATGAGCATCCCCCCATACTACAGTGGCTCAAAAAGTGTCTCAATGTTTGCACATTTTCATATAATTGCATCATTGTGAGCCAGGGTGTGGGAATATAATAGGGCTATAGGGACATATCTGAATCCCTTGTATCCAGGCTTGAATCTGAGATATGCAGCGTGGGAAAGTGATGTCATGGAGCGGAGATATGGCTATTCTAGTTTAGTGACTTATTGAGACACTTATTTGACTTTATATCAAAATCATAGAATTAGACCACCTACACATGATGTGATCAATGACACATGTCTTAGAATATCATATGGGATGTGAAAGTATAAAAATAATAAAAATAAAGCCAAACATCAACCTTTTTTGGCATCTTTTATCACTGACTACACAAAATCAATTCAACACTCTTTCTACACAATTCAACCAAATTTTTATAGAATATCTCACATTATACTTGTGTCCACTAAAGTATTATAAATAAAACTTACTGTAGACACTGTACAAGCCTTCAGAAGTTCATTGGTGATCACCATTCTATGCTTTTTACCTCTACTATTTAGTATGCTATTTGCTTAAACAGTACTGACAAGCCTGCAAATGCTGCTCAAGTGACAAAAAGACTGTATAATATCTAGAAGCAGCTTATTACATCACAGACACCATGTTGTGACTTGGGGGTAAGTGATATCAAGGCTAGAATTATGTAAAAACATCCTTTTCTTATTTAGCACTATAGAAGTAAGAGTAAACACTGCTATGTATCACTAGTGCTGTACTATGAATAGCTGAACAAAAATTATACAATTAGCAGATAGAACTGGAATTAATCATCTGATGCCAAATCAATGGCAATAGTGAAGCTTATAATCTCCTCTTCTGTAGTGCTAGAAGAGAAAGGAATGTTTTTGCCTAATTCTAGCCTTGATATCACTTACCCCCAAGTCACAACATGGTGTCTGTGATGTAATAAGCTGCTTCTAGATATTATACAGTCTTTTTGTCACTTGAGCAGCATTTTCAGGCTTGTCAGTACTGTTTGAGCAAATAGCATACTAAATAGTAGAGGTAAAAAGCATAGAATGGTGATCACCAATGAACTTCTGAAGGCTTGTACAGTGTCTACAGTAAGTTTTATTTATAATACTTTAGTGGACACAAGTATAATGTGAGATATTCTATAAAAATTTGGTTGAATTGTGTAGAAAGAGTGTTGAATTGATTTTGTGTAGTCAGTGATAAAAGATGCCAAAAAAGGTTGATGTTTGGCTTTATTTTTATTATTTTTATACTTTCACATCCCATATGATATTCTAAGACATGTGTCATTGATCACATCATGTGTAGGTGGTCTAATTCTATGATTTTGATATAAAGTCAAATAAGTGTCTCAATAAGTCACTAAACTAGAATAGCCATATCTCCGCTCCATGACATCACTTTCCCACGCTGCATATCTCAGATTCAAGCCTGGATACAAGGGATTCAGATATGTCCCTATAGCCCTATTATATTCCCACACCCTGGCTCACAATGATGCAATTATATGAAAATGTGCAAACATTGAGACACTTTTTGAGCCACTGTATATACCCGAGACTCATACTGTGGCCTTCCCACCAGTGTGTACGCCGACTAAACAAGCATCACCCACACTACTTCCCACCAGCACACATGCACCAACTAGATAAACATCATACATTATTGAATTTTCATGTTAGATCTCTCGTATATCAATTCATGATGTAGTATGGCCAGCTTATTCCATTTCACATGTACCAAACATATACAAAATAGTGTACAGTGAACAAAGTGAGCCACTAATGCAACGGCCCACAAACAAATTGTCAGACAAAGTGCTACATCAGTAACAACCGCGATGAGAAAAACAACCAAATATTAA